GGTGTGAGACAGTTGATGATCACATCTAAACCCTCTGAACTTTGTAAATGGTTCCATCTTCTTAAGACAGATTAGTAAACCAAACAAAAACAGTATAAAATTCTTAAAATTATGTTTTTATTTCATGAAACTGATACAAATACATATACCATGTTGAATGGTTTAAAAGTCAAAGCTGAAAAGACTACTTTATACATTAGCTAATGCTCTGCTATAAGAACAATAAGAAGAACAGTTTTCAGAAAATAAACAATAGTGTTTGCAGCTCCAGCGTTATATGCAACAACACTTTGTGTTGTACGGTTGTCTATGTCAAACTGTAATGGGGTTTGCTTTGTTTTGTGTGGATGCTGCTTTGTAGGACGTTTTGGGGGAGGGCAACTCAGCTTCTCACATAAATGTTGGCAGCATTTGGGGCAATCTTTGACATACACACTCATGTTGCAGTTTTATGCAGATATGTTAATAAAGCCGCTCACACAGACAGACAGTAACATTCAGTGGTACAAACACTACGGTACAGGTCCAAAATTCATAAACATGCACGTAGAACAACACACTCAGGCATAGTCAGGCTTCACATGGCTTTGTTAAGCATCCTTGTGAGGATTAAATCAGCACTTTAAATAAGCAGTGAACAAAAACACTCCCAGTGGAGGAGAAGGGGGTAGCTCARCAGCAGACACTGTCATTTCCAGACAGAGCAGGAGAGAAGGGCGGAGAACCAGAATGAAGAGGGATGAGTTTTCAGGTGCGCTTGCTGAAAGGTGTGTACATGAACAGATATAATACATTTGTTTTGTGTACCTGTTTTGTGTTCTTTTCATTTAGACAATTATTTTAGTTAAAGTGTGAACTTTGAATAAAACATTGTACTACTTCTGTTTTCTTTTTAAGCCATTTTGTAAACTTTCTGCTGCATTTTGGGTTACTGTCCCGTTAAATGACCCACCGTATGCTAAATGTCAGTGTCAAGGTTATGGTCAAGACTTCTGCATATTTCATCCAAACGGCCAAAATCATCCAAAATTCTCAGTTGCGTGACGAACAGTAGGTAATTTTGTTCACAACTTTGAGTGTTCCACACCTTCTTGTCACAACATGCTGGGAGAACCTTTCACCACCCTCCACATAAGAAATTATAATGTGATTGGTCAGAAGTTTGTGGGACTTCTTGTTCATGCTGAGCRTGTTTGGATGCTGCATTTTACTTCAACTACTTGTTTCCAGAATCTGACTGTTGTACCCAGAAGCGGACCAAAAACTCAAGGATGGAGATAAAACAGACATTGTGCATGGAGGAACCTGACAAAAACTGTCTAGCTTTAAGCATGACAGATTTGTGGACAAATAACAGCAGATATCAGGGTCCCCCACCCCCTGAGTATAGATTCTAGCAGGAAGAAACCATGTGCACTGATGTGTGTTGCAGCGGGAGTGGTTTCCCAGGGGCTAGGCGCAATGTGTCTTAGGGTCTATTAAAGGTGTGTGAGAAAACAAACATTAAAAAACCACGTGACCGCACATTGACTTTTCAGCTTCGGATCAAGAATGTGGAGGCCTTTAGTCTGCGCCTCACACAGACTCTCACAACTGATTCAAAAAACCCTTGGTATACGGAGAAGTTTATAGTAGACTCGACAACTCCAACATATCCAGGTCTTATGGCTGCAAAACAAGCCCAAGTCATCAGCCCTTCACTAAAGTTCCAGACTGACTTGTTTGTCCAACATCTTCACTTTGGTTCTATCTGTCCAAAAGGACAATGGGCCTCATGCAAGAACATGTTCATATTCTTATCCTAAATTTCTCTTACTTTTGTTCGTACAAAGGGTTCGTACGAACATGTCACGTCAGTTTCAACAAACTCTTCTATCTTCCTGAAAAGGGTGTAAATGAGCTGCGTAAATTCCACCTGTTCGTATCCAGCTGCTCGTGCACGTGAGAGGAGATTAGCATAATTACCACCCCAAAAACAACATATAAGGCTATGTTTCCTGCCTCAGTTATCAGGAAGTGTCCATTCATGAAAATGACAGCGAAAATTAAAAAGAAGAACTTTACGAGTTCAGAGAATGAAGTCCATCTGTCAGAGATCCAGAAAATAAAATCTGTCATTTTAGCAGGTCAGCTGTGGAATAAAAAGAGCTGCTAAATATATAAACAACTGTGTTAAATCATTTTCATTTATTCAGAAGCCACATAGTCGCGCACCGTATGCCCCCCCACCCCCAGCGCGGTCTCAAGTGGTCTCAGTTGCGGTTCTGAAATAAGCATTTTAAAATGATTTCAAAATATGTCTGGCACTTTGGAGAAAATCCATGACTTGCTGGAGGGATTATGTATCCCCTCTGGCCTGGGAACGTCTCAGAGTCCCCCAGGACGAGCTGTAAGGTGTTGCTGGGGAGAGCGGGGTCTCTCTGCTGCTGCCCACGCGACCCGATCCCGGAAAAGCGGCGGAAAACGGACGAACGAACACTTTATATTGTTAGTCTAAATCATTACATTTAAAATTATAACTCTAATTCAAGCAGAATTGTTGTATTGTCAAGATAATCATGGAGTGTAATTTATTTTCAACTCAAAATATCTTCAAACTAATGAAATATAAAGTTATTAGGGAGGAAAATCAGTCTGGATAACAGCAGACTGACTGCTCGTAAAATATACGACAGGTCTGGACCACTTGTGAATTTTGTTCGTATCTGAAGAAAATCTTAGAATACGAAAACATTGGTGAATGCCRCAAATTCTCCTAAATCACTCGTACRCACAACTTAAGARCAAATCTGTGCGTACGAACGGTTCGTGCATGAGGCCCATTGTCCCTAGAGTGTTTTTAAAAAGCCCCTTTGACATTTTGATAGTTCTGTGATGTGTTTTTTTTAGAGAGAATAAACTTCTTTGTATGCTGYCATGGACTGTAACATTTATTGTTAACTTTTGACTAGACTAGAGTGTGAACCTGAACTTTGAACTGAGCTTGTGTTGAACTTACTGAGGTTTTAAGTCCTGGGAAAACTAACTGTTAAATACACTTTTATATATTTTCACCCACTCCCTTGTTTCCCTGGGCAGGGAGGGTGACTCTTCATCTCTAGCACAGGTCCTCTACCAGAGGCCTGGGAGCTTTAGGGTCCTTCACAGCATCTTAGCTGTTCCTAGGACTTTGCTTCTCTGGACTGAGATGTCAGATGTTTCTCCAGGTATCTGTTGGAGCCACTTCTCCAGCGTGGGGGTACTGCCCCAAGTGTTCCGATAACCACGGGCAATGCAGTTGCCCTCACCTGCCAAGCTCTTTCTAGCTTTTCCCTGAGCTCTTGGAATTTCTCCAGTTTCTCATGTTCCTTTTTCCTGATGTTTCTATCACTGTGGATGGATACATCAATCACAACGGCTGTCCTCTGCTGCTTGTCATTGATCACAATATCCGGTTGGTTGGCCATTGTCTGTTTGAATCTGGAAGTCCCACAGGATCTTGGTCATTCTCCACCACAATGGGAGGTAAATCCCACTTGGATCTCGAGGTGTCCAGTTCATACTCCGCACAGAAGTTTCTGTATACTATACCAGCCACCCGGTTATGGTGTTCCATGTATTCTTTTCTTGCTAGTCCACCCTGCTGTAAGACACTGGATTGTTTTTGGGGCTTCTTTGCACTACATGCACCTGGGATCTTGTCTGGTATGGTGATCTGGGCCTCAGTTGTTATTGTGCTCAAAGCTTGCTCCTGTGCTACCATGGTCAGTATATTTGTGTTGTCCTTCAGTCCTGCCCTCTCCAGCCATTGGCAGGATTTGGTCATATCAGCTACTTCAGCTATCTGTTGGTGGTACTGTACATCCCAAGCTGGAGTTTTTCTCCCCATGGTGGTTCCTTCAGGTCTTTCTCCTCCAGTTTGCATTTTTTATATACACTGCCCAGCCAAAAAACATGTCCACTTGGATTTAACTAAGTGTTATGATGTGGGGTTGCTAGGTCTAGGTTCAGCAACAGTATGTGGTCAAAGAATGAGGTCATCTGACTACCTGAATGTATTGAATGACCAGGTTATTCCATCAATGTTTTTTTCTTCCCTGATTTTGATTTATTTTATTTATTTATTGTTATTTTACCAGGCAAGTCCCGTTGAGATCTCAGATCTCTTTTTCAATGGAGACCTGGGCCTGAAGGCAACCTATTGTACATGTATTTAGGGGTGGAGGRAACTTGAGTACCTGGAGAAAACCCACGCAAGCAGGAGGACAACATGCAAACTTYGCACAGAAAGACCCCAGGTCCAAACTGGGGATCGAACCCWGGACCTTCTTGCTGTGAGGCGTCGGTGCTAACCACTGAGCCGTCCTGCTGCCAGATGCCGCCTGATGCTGCCTGATGGCACGGGCATATTCCAAGATAGCAATGCCAGGATTCATTGGGCTTGAATTGTGAAWGAGTGGTTMAGGGAGCATGAGGCATCATTTTCACACATGGATCAGCCACCACAGAGTGCATTGAGAGTCTTTAAGATGTGTTGGAGAAGGCTTTGCACAGTGGTCAGACTTTACCATCATCAATGCAAGATCTTGGTGAAAAACGAATGCAACGCTGGATGGAAATAAATCTTGTGGCATTGCAGAAGCTTATCAAAACAAGGCCACAGCAAATGCGTGCCGTAATGAAAGCCAAAGGCGACGCAACAAAATATTAGTGTATGTGACCTTTTTTTTTGGTGGCAACTTCTTTTTTGGCCAGGTGTTTAATATGATATTTTTTTCTGTGTAGAATAATGAAATCCAAGTAATTTAGAATGAACCTTATGAATATTTCAAAATTAAGGAATAAATTCATAGGCAGTAGTGTCATGGTTTATTRTTTGGCAGTGTGTGAACTCACGCCTAAGTTATTTATACCAGAAAATTATTTAGCTTTCATAAAGTTGCTTAAAACTGCTGATAATCAATTACTACAAAACATCTAGTTATTGTAATAATAGCCGATTGTCTTGTGTGTTTACTCAGGTGGAATTTGAATGGCTGCGTCAGTATTGGTTTCAGGGCCAGCGCTACACCCGCTTTTGCAGCTGGTGGACCAGACCGATGGAGCAACTGGAGAAGGACTGGAAGCTCCTGGAGACTATGGTGAGAAAACTCATACACCTTGCTAATCATTTCACAGTTAGGAATATGTAATTTTAGTTTCCTAAAAYTAGACTTTTGAAACTTACTTTTTATTTACAATTGGCTACAATTAATTTTTGATACAAATTAATATTTTAAAATGTATACAATTATGTAGTATAATACACTTGAAAATGTCCATAGATTGATAATAATCAATTATTAAGGTAAAGCTCCAGATACAAGTTCAAGCAGTAATTTGTCTGATAAATTTGTAYTTGAATAAAGAACAATGATTGTGATTGGATAACTTTAAAAAAAATAGAGATAAGTTAAATTGAATTAAAATATAAATTCAGAAGAAATCGTAGTCAGTTGAAAATACTTTTTTTCCAACACAAAATAAACATTAAGTGTAAGTAAAACTATTAACACTAAACTATTTTCTGAAAATATATACGAGGAGCTTTTTGTTTAATTTGTTTTGTCATAAAATACCAAGTATTTTCATATTTTCAAGATTTCTCAACATGCATGAGCTTTTGCTTCTTTTAAATGGAAACACAAGTGACCTGCTGTCCAATAATACTTCACACAAGGGAAGGTGTTTTCATAGTAACAATATATTTTCCACAGTGTACTGTATATAACTGCTTACAGGCTGCATCATTAAGGAAGTGTCATATGTTTCATCATAGCCTCACAGACGTTTTGTTCAAGAATAACTGGGCACGCACACAGTTATTACTTAGAGACCACTTGAAAGGAATCCCATTGTAATGTCAGACTCATTATTTAGTCACAGCTCTGTTTAGTTTCAACTGGATCGGTGGATGTACAGCGCACAGACACACAGTGCTTCTTTTAAAGGTTGATTTCAAAGAGTGCACGTATCTTCAGTATCTCTATATCTGTGTGTGTTTGTGTGTGTGTGTGTGTGTGTGTGTGGGTGTGTGTGTTTGTGTGTGTGTGTGTGTGTGTGTGTGTGTGTTTTGAGGACCCAGACACCAGAGGCAGCAGGGGGCACTCTTGCATCACTGTAGCGGCAGTGAATTGCTGTGCTCGTCTTTTCCTCCTCCGTCCCTCTCTGCCTCTCAGCCACTCCTGCTGTCTCTGGGAGCTCTCCGTCTCTGTCAGTGTCGAGAGCTGAGCAGTAATCACATCTAATGCTCAGGCGGGGATAAAGACAGGGGCTGGAGGAGAACAGTGCCGCTGCTGCTGAGGCTGCTCAGCTCTAGCCCGAGTCTCTCTCTCTCTCTCTCTCTCTCTCTCTCTCTCTCTCTCTCTCTCTCTCTCTCTCTCCCTCCCTCCCTCGCTTTCTCGCACGCAGCCTGGCAGAGGGTGGGTGGGTGGTGGAGGTGGCAGGTTTAGTAGACAGGGGCTAAACTCATCTTGAGCCCCACCTCTGGGCCCAGATGAAGTGCGAGATTCAAGCCTGTATTTTAGTGAAGAACATCGGTGAGCAGGAAGTTTCTCTGTCTCTTGGTTCCAGCAGACCTTACTCACTGTGTCCGTTTTTCACGCAGGCAAAAGGTGATTTTAATGATTCAGTTCAAACTTAGCAATAAACTTTGCACAATACATCAGACAAAAATAGAAGACAGTAAAAAAATAGTGGTAGTAAAAAGTAGCGATGTAAAACACACGTGCCAATAAAAATGTAGCGTTTTTAAATTTAATATGTAAATGTAATTTGACATCAGTTTATTAGAAAATCAACTTGTCAGAATTTTTTTCTAAAAATATTGTTATTCTTAATGTCAAATCAGGGAAAAGCAAGCATGTCTTTTGCAGGAAATACATATCGAACAAACGCAAAAAAATAATACACGGGTGTGCTTGTAAAAGTAACGATTCTCTATTGTGATGAAAGACAACATTATTGCTTTTGCTAGCAGTATTTACATACATGCATCGACGTCTGATACGCTGATGAAAAGCACTTCATGGATGCGACTTATAGATTTTCCTTTTGGAGCTTTCGATAGCCGTGGCTTTTCTTTCACTAGATTAAAACCCATTTCTCTAAATTACTTTGAGTTATTTAAATGATGCCGGCTTTCCCTACAGTTCTTTATTGGCATACATTTTACATTCCGAAGCTGGCAATTGACAGCACAGTCTAATTTAGTGAAATACAAGTGACCTGCTGCGTGCAGATTCTGTTTACCATTTATTTATTTACATATTTCTGTTGCCTGCAGAGTATATTTTAATACAGTGTTATTTATTTTTGGTTTTTGTCAAAACTGGTATTAGCTTAGGTATTTTAAAATAACAAATACATGTCTATWTAAATAGGCTTTATAAAATGAAACTGTATTGTTTCATGCACCGCGCTGCTGCAATAAAACTGCCTATTGTTTTATCCTGCTAAAATAGTAATACAAAGTGCCTGGCTTCCTCTCTTTATTGTCATATTTAGCAAAAGTGTTGTGGGATGTGCTGGGCTGCGTTTGTTAGTCTGTATGAAGAATATTGCAATATTTGGTGGTGGTAGTGGTGGGGGTGGGTGGGGTGCTCTAGTATATGGATACTGTCTCTCCCTGGGGCTCCCTCTCTGCTCCTCAGCCCGTTGTCATGCAAATRCTCATCTTTCTATTTGAATGACATTCTGATAAAATACATAAATAAATTTATAAAAGAACCGAAACAAAACAAGTCCACCAGCTCGCTCGCCTCTTTTTTGGAGCCTCATGAATTTGCGTGTTTCCTTGATAGARGGACTTCTGAATAATCTTCAAGTGTGTTTCACGCGAGCGCACAGCGAGACGACGATGTGTGTAAAAAGGTGGGTAAAGGTTGTTTCAAAAGGGTGGGAGAAGGGCATTAACTGAAAGGTTTTTTTTTTTGTGTTCCCCTGTGATCCGGGGTGCTGAAGTCCTTTTAGACCCGCCTGGCTCAGAGCCTCGAGTTCCCTCAGGACTCTGCTATCGTGGCAATCATACAATAGTGACATTTCCTTAAACTAGCAACAATGAGTAGCTTCTGTCTGAATCACAATAGACAGAGAAGCTTGGCTTTATGCAGAATATTTTAAAGACCAGTGTTTTTTTTTTTATCTTCCCTCTTTTTACTGTGGGGGAGAAGCAACAGCAAGCCCATGAGCACCTTTTCCTTTTTGTTTTCCTGTGTCCTTTGTGTGTGTGTGTGTGTGTGTGTGTGTGTGTGTGTGTGTGTGTGTGTGTGTGTGTGTGTGTGTGTGTGTGAGTGTGTTTGCGAGCCATTGATGTTAATGTATGCACTCGGCATGACTTTAATTGATTTAGCAGCTCTGCTTGCACACTACGGCTTTTTCCCTAATTTGTCACTTTCCTGACTTCTGTGGCTGCTCATCTCGCAACTTCAAAAGCCAGCRGTTGCAAAGAGATTTCAATGCACTCCGTCGTCTCCCTTCTTTTTCTTCTTCTCCCCCTCTCGCTCTTTGCGTTCTTCCTTTCTCTTGGTCTCTCGCTCCATCTCACTGCATCTCTTTCTCACACTCGCACCCCCCCCCCCACCGCCATCTCGTTTGACAGGAGAACGAGCCTTGTAGATGGAAATCTTTTCAACGCGTATCAAGGAAATTAATCTACTTTCATAATAAATGGGATCCACTCAGTTGAATACATTTGTATACTTCAAGATGTACAAAACAGGAAGTGGTATCGGGGCCATGTCTTCCTCTGCTCCATTCACCCAGCCTGTCAGTCCCAGTTTTCTGCAGTTTGGTCACACACATTTCCACTTTTTTTTTGTCCTCTCTCTCTCCCCGTGTAACAAAATTTACTCTCTCATCTGTAAAGCAGGCAGGATTATTTATTTATTTATTTTTGCATGCACACACACTTTTGTGTTTGCGGAGAGACGCCGCTTAGCGACCATTTCATCTTGGCCTTGCTCCCCCTCCCCATTCCGACACACACACACACACACACACACACACACACACACACACACACAC